GCCTTCTTGGTCTCCTTTGCCTGGTTCTTCCAAAAGTCCATATATTGGACCTCACAAGGAAGTTGTGTGAGCGCCACGCTGGCGTGGCGAGCGATGGTGTGTCTTCCATATCTATACATGTAATCTATTCTTGACGTCTCTCCCGCGTACTTTAGGATACATCTCTGCATCAATTGACCTTGCACATGAGTACGTGAAGATTGGTAAGATGAAGAGGGCGGCCATGATTTTCAATCTGGCATTGGAAGTTGTTAGAAACGGACAAGCCTCGCCGGAGGTATCCTCTGCCTTCTTGTTACGATTTGCGGAGTCACTGGCCTTAATCGAGGATGTGTCTCGAAGGTATGATTGTCCTATTCTTAGTGGTTGCGTTTGTGGCTGAGTTTGAGATGTAGCTCAAGTGTCTATAATGAGGCACTAGATCATTCAAGCAGACTGGATACGGAGGAGAAAGGATTGACCACTCTTCAAAGGATCCATACACGGGTTAAGCGCCTGGAGAGGGCAGCGATGGCTTCGCATATCTTCGGATTGATTCAGTATTGCAAGGTAGTGCCTTTTAATATTCCACTCATCCTTGTTGTCATCAAGCCTATTTAGGAGGACGTTGCTACATCACTGGAAGGCATGCTCCAGTCTCTTCGTTTGTGGAACCGGACTGTGGACACATTAGGACGCCTTAACCCTTCGCCTCAATCCTCCGCTAAACCATCTCCGGAATCCAATCCATTTGAAATGACAAGTATGAAAGAAGCTCTTATGGCTGAACAAACATCCGCTCCAGCACAATCACAACCTACGCCGAACAAGTCATACCCTCCGCGATCTTTCATTCATGATTTGGAGTGGCGGACAGCTGAGGGACTTTTTGCCACCCTGTTCGCGTTGTCGCACATGTACGTGACGCGTGGATCTCCTCGGGAAGCTGAGTACTTTGCACAGCAGGCTCAGGATCTTGCCGAAGCATTGAACGTTCCCACTGTTGTTGGCCGTGCGTTCACTCGGAAGGCAGAGGTTCAGCTTCATCTTGGTCAACTGCAGGAGGCAAATGCGACACTGGAAAAAGCTGCTGCGTTGCTCTCTCACCTGCCAGGCGTTGATACTATTATCGTTCATCGGCTCCGAGCGGAGTGTAATGAGCGAAGCGCTCAGCATGAGGATGCGCAAGAACTTTATCTTTCGACAATGAAAATGCTAGAGGAGCTTGATGGCGCGTTCCAGCAATTCGAGACTTTGGCATTTGGGTACGTGACATTATATCTCTTTCTCCGACACAAAAGACAAACAAAGTTCCTTCGCTTCAGTCCTCGACGATCACTAGGAACATCCCCTCGGACAAAGCTCCTCCCTGACACTGTCGCTCCTGAGCTCCTGGCAGCCGTTCTTCACCAGCATAGTACGTTCGTGTTCATTTTTCGCTAGCTTTTTCTGACAAAAGCAGTCTGGTCACGACGCGATCAGCCAGATTAAGACCTCAATGGCTTGCTTGAGAAGTTCTTGTCCCTGCCATCTTCATCCCGAATGAAGGTAAGAAACCTCGATTTCGTCCCAACGCAAATGTCTGACCCAACTAATTTCGAAGGCGAATGAGAACTCCCTCATGGGCAAACTAACTCTCTACAACGTCTATGCTCGCTTCCGTGCTGATATGTTCCTAAGTTCCCTCACCGAGTCTAGTGAGTTGTTCATTTTCTCGTTTGTTGCAGAAACTTACCAGTACATCGTAGCAATCGCCATTCCCATGGGAATGTCGACTACGCACAAGGTTGCGTTTGCATTACCTACTCAGGATGTTCTGAACGCTCTGGAAGAGGCAGAGAAACTATTTCAAGCAAACTTGTCATTGACTTCTTGGAATGGTAGCGTCCTCAAGCTTCGGGATGCTGCGATCTCATCAGGAAACACTGAATTTATAAGTAGTTTCTCGACGAAATCCATTGCGCCAGTACTTTTTGGTCCTTCGCCGTAGCACGGAGTAGCCACGGTGTGTCTGGGTAGTTGGCCTTGCATGTACAGTTACTGAGTAGTTGTCTGGCAAGTGTCAGTAGTCCCAATAGCTGTCCGGCAAGTGTCAGTAGTCCCCATATCCTTTCACTGGAGACCTGTAGCTTCGGTAGAAGGAATAACCCCCAAGCCAATAAGCAAGATGAGCAAAATAGGGATAAAGTTGAAAAGAAAAAAATGTTATTTTGTGCGGCGACGAGACTTCCGAGAAACATGAAGATCAACTAAATATCGTAGAAGGAAGAAGTCGTGATGGCGAAGGTAGGGATTAATAAAAAAAGTTGGTTGCATCATCAAGAACCGTAGATGATGTCCAAGTATCAGGCATCTTGCGGCCGAATTTTGGAGCAAGGTGGCAGCTCCGTATTATCTTGGCCACAGGAATGACGGATGTGCGCTGACGATGATTGTGAGAGGACCTCGAAATTGTGAACATGTTGGTGTCAAGATCATTGGGGGTGGGTCGCAGGGGTGTGTACCAATGAACGTAGGCGAGGGGGTGGTTGTATTGGCCAAATTCAGTTGGCAATTTGAAGATGACCCGTACCTGAGCAACGCGGAGTCCTAGCGATGGAACAGTCAGTGAGATGAAAGAATTACGTTTGAAGGTTTGGGGCTTACCACTTAAAGGACCACCCGCCACAATGCTTGGGCTCTCTTGAACGAGTACTGTGCTAAATCGACCCGGAACGGCCTGTTTTATGCCTTGCGAAGTTATCATGGCTGGCACCGCTCTGACGGCATGGATGACATCTGGCGTAGGTTTCGAAGTAACTTCAGGAATTGGGGGGAGGACGAATCCGACTTGCTTGTACAGATCAAACGCGGATGCTGCACTCAGCGCAATGTCGCCAACCAGTCGTTCCGTATCGATGAACGACGTAAGGTGCTGTAAGAAATCAGTCGCTCCATAGTCGCTGACAATGGATGTTACCGAAACGTTGTGCAGCGCAGGTTTCTTTGCGATGGTATAACTTTCCACCACTTCATCTCCCGCAGCCACTCTGTTAACGTCGTCCTCTTCTTCATCCTCCTCTTCGTCCTCCTCTTCGTCTTCGTCAACCTCGCTACCGTTCTTCGAGATTTCAGCAGTATAGCCCGGAACGGCCCATTGGAGGTACAGGCAGAAACGTTGGATGGACTCTTGGCGGCGGAGCCATATCGTCATTTGCTTGATGAATTCCTTCTTGTTGGTTGCCTTGTACCCCATTTTCGCAAGATCAATGTGTAGGCGTTCTGTACCTTCTGTGTTGAACCCATCAGCAGTTCCATGTGATCGGATCGCATCGATGTAGTGTTTGATATTGTGAAGTTTGCTGATATTGAAGTGTTTCCGTATTTCGAGATCTTCGAAGATGTGTTTGTTATCGTGGAAGGTGAGCCATGCTGCGTCGAGAAGACCCAAAGATTCGTCAGTATGGGTCTCAAAGTGAGCATAATAGATGAAATCCAAAACGCCGCGCACAGCGCGGATGACAGCCGGGTCGGTGGCACCAGCGAGGACTGTAAGAAAAACCTTCTCCATGTTTTTGTGTTCAGTTCCGGTCCACTGTGTCGTTAACGAGATGCCCCTCTTGAAATGTCGGAGGCTTGGATGAGGGGACATACACTGGAAGCGCGCATCAACTTCACCCTCACCACCTTCAGTGGCTTCCGTCGCCCAACTCGAGATGTGGTCCTTGAAAACCCCCTTGTGAAGTTGATGGAGAATGTCGGGCGTCATGCTCGTGAATATATTGCAGTGAGGGAGGTCTGCCCAGAAGGGGTTGATGGCTCGAAGGCTGTGATCATCAAATTCGGGTGGGTTTTCGCCATCAGCTTTCTCTCCCAAGACGCGGATTGTGATTCCAGGATCGCGTGAGTCGGAGAAAAGTCGGGCGCCGCGCTCCTTTGGATTTATGATACACCTTGGACAGGCACTTTCCTTGCAACACGCAACAAGGCATTGCTCGGGATAATCGGCAATGTATGATGCCAAGATCGGATAGATGGTTCGGATGAAGCCATCAGCGCACTGCATGTCGACACCGTTTGTCCCCGCATCAATCAAGGGCCTGAGAAGGGTGCGCATACATTCATGGAACAGCTGATAGCCTTCGAGCGACCGTGTTTTCCTTGAAAAGCATTCGAGCTTAGAGATAGGTATGTACCCAATGAGGACCATTGCTCGTGCGGAAGGTTGTCGGCGGGTTTCTTTCTCAATGTTTCCAATACTCAGGTACACCGGCCACGCTTGCTTATCCCCAGCAAAGCGGGTGAGCTGTGTCTTGTCAGAAGACACAATGACGGGTGCGATTGTGACCCCATCAGGCAACTCCATCTGAAAAGGCGCCGTCAAGACTTTCTTCCCATCTCAAATAGCTGTCAATCACAAACCTGCATAAACCACCACCAGTCACCTGTCCACATCTCACTGAACTCGCGATTCGTGCCATCAGCATTCCTATACACTCTCTTTGGTGCGTAAAACTGTTTGCCTTTGAACGCTGGATTTCCCATTAA